TTCCTTCCTTCCTTCCTTTCCTTCCTTCCTTATTTCTCCCTCCTTTTCTTTTCCGTGTCTTCCCTCCCGCATTCCTTCCTTTTCTTCCCGTTCCCTGCCTTCTATTCTTTTTCCTCCTCTCTTCCTCCTTTCCCTTCTTTTGCTTCTCTCCCTCCTTCCTTCCTTCCTCTCTTTCCCGTTCCTTTCCTTCTTTCCCTCTTTCCCTCTTTCCCTCTTTCCCTCTTTCCCTCTTTCCCTCTTTCCCTCTTTCCCTCTTTCCTTCCTTCCTTCCTTCCTTCCTTCCTTCCTTCCTTCCTTCCTTCCTTCCTCCTTCCTTCCTTCCTTCCTTCCTTCCCTCTTCCCTTCCTTTCCCCCCTGCCCAGGTCCCTTTCCCCTCCCATGGCCTCTTCCTTGGCGGAAAGGGCTCCACTCAAAGACCCCGAAGGCGACGTCGTGGGAGGCCGGAGCGAGTCCCTCCTGATGCTTCTCCGGGGCGGCGCTCCCGTGGGCCCGGGGCCCCTTCCTCCTCCTCCTCCTCCTCCTCCCTCCGCTCGCTTCCTGGGCGCCCTTTCCCCGGAGGAGCCTTTCTCGACGGGCCCCGTGCCCTGCGCCTCGGGCCTGCTGGCCGGCCCCTTCCCCTTCTGCCCCGCCGGCCCTTTCGGGGCTCCCTCGCCCGCTCTAGGCCTCCCCCTTCCCCGCCCGGTGCCGGTCTTCGCGGCGCCTTTGCCGCCCAAGAGAGAGCCTTCCTTCGGGCGCCGAGGCCCCGACCGGACGCCGCCCAAGAAGAAGCAGCAGCAGCAGCAGCAGCAGCAGCGAGGCCCCGACGGAGCTCCCCGCAGCAGCCCGCCCGCCGGCCACTGCTTCTCTTCCCAGGACCTGCACGCTGTGCTCTACGGAGCCGGTAAGGAGGCGAAAGAGGGGGAAGGAGCGTCTGTACTACAGGCTGAACGCAGTTTCATACCTCTCTTTTCAGTACCTGAGTATTCATTTGATCGCTTCCCGTCGTGGGAGTCCTATGGAACCCTTCCAATGCTTTGGAGTCCTAGAATGTATAGTTTGGGGCAGTACCATAGCTACGGGCCTGGTTTGGGGGGGGGGGGCGGGAGGACTAGCCCAGTGTTTCTCAACTTGGGGGGGGGGGGCCAAAGACCACCAGAAAAAACGGTATTTTCTGTCATAGGGGTTCTGTGTGGGAAGTCTCACCCAATTCTATCGTTGATGGGGTTCAGAATGGTCTTTGATTGTAGGTGAATTATAAATCAGCAACTACAACTACCAAATGTCAAGGTATCTTTCCCCCAAACTCCACCAGTGTTCACATTTGGGCACATTAAGTATCCCTGCCAAGTTTGGTCTGGATCCATCATTGTTTGAGTCCACAATGCTCTCTGGATGTAGGTGAACTACAACTCCCAAACTCAAGGTCAGTGCCCACCAAACCCTTCCAGTATATTCTGTTGGTCATGGGAGTTCTGTGTGCCAAGTCTGCTTCAGTTCCATCCTTGGTGGAGTTCAGAATGCTCTTTGATTGTAGGTGAACTATAAATCCCAGCTAGTACAATTCCCAAATGTCAAGATCTTTCCCCCCCAAACTCCACCAATGTTCACATTTGGGCATATTGAGCATCCATGCCAAATTTGGTCCAGATCCATCATTGTCTGAGTCCACTGGGCTCTCTGGATGTAGATGAACCACAACTCCCAAACTCAAGGTCAATGCCCATCAAACCCTTCCAGTATTTTCTGTTGGTCATGGGAGTTCTGTGTATCAAGATTGGTTCAATTCTATTGTTGATGGAGTTCAGAATGCTCTTTGATTGCAGATGAACTATAAATCTCAGCAGCTTCCAATCCCAAATGACAAAAATCACTCTTCCCTCAACCGCACCGGTATTCAAATTTGGGCATATAAGGTATTTTTGCCAAATTTGATCCACTGAGTGAAAATACATCCTGCATACCAGATATTTACATTACGATTTATAACAGTAGCAAAATTACAGTTATGAAGGAGCAATGAAAATAATGTTATGGTTGGGGTTCACCACAACATGAGGAACTGTATTAAGGGGTTGCGGCATTAGGAAGGTTGCAAAACACTGCCTCACAACCTATGAGGATGCCTGCCATGGATGTGGGTGAAATATCAGGAGAGAATGCTACTATGTTGATGGAGGCAATCCACACAGATGTTTGGGATGAAGGCTTGTGGAAAGCTTTGAGCATTCATGGTCCAACTTGGGCCTTCCAGGTGTTTTGGACTCCAACTCCCACCATTCCTCACAGCCTCAGGCCTCTTCTTTTTCCCTCTCAGCCGGTTAAGCAGCTGAGGGGGAAAAGGAAGCAGCCTGAGGCTGTGAGGAATGGTGGGAGTTGGAGTCCAAAACACCTGGAAGGCCCAAGTTGGACCATGCCTTCTTTGAGATTCCTCTCTGTTCAACTTTCCACACATAACCTACAGCAATTCAGAATGGCTAGACTAGCAAGCAACCCTTGGAGAAATATATCCAATCCCGAACTTAGATCAGAACTCTTTTCCCCACCGGAATGGAATAACCTGGAAGGCATGGGAAGGTGGTAGTTATTAAGTGGCCTAAAAGGAAGCAGGCCTGTGTAGTTCAATCCATTAATTGGCTAGGAGGATCAATACTGTAATTACGGCTAAATTTAATATGCTTTCCCTCCCTAAAGTCCTCAGCAAATATACTGTAATGACTTCTGATGGGGTTGCTGTTACCAATTTATCTAGAGCTCTTCAGCTTGACAATCTTCTTCAGACTATGACTTGGCTGAAAGGAAGCCACTGAGTTTCTTCTCCTGTTCCTAAAATATTTTGGTCGTGGAATTAATGTAATATTAGTTTCTGTTGAAGGTGAATCCTGTACATGTTTGCTCAGAGGCCATCTGATGGAATACAGTGGGGTTTGTTCTCCAATAAACGGATACAGGATTGCAGCTGAGATACCCCAAGACAGAAAGAGAGAGGAAATGTCCAGAAATTTGAAAAATGTTCATCATAAAAAATGCCACAAGATTGTTTGTCCCTTCCTCACTTTCTACATGGAGCTCAAGAAACATACCCTTTCTGGAGCCTTGAGAAAAGACTTGAAAATATATAAGTGTAAATATATAAAAATATAAATATACAAAATATATAAATATATAATTATAGATATATAAAAATAAATATATAAGTGTAAATATATAAAAATAAAATATAAATATACAAAAATATATAAAAATAAATATATAAATATAAATATACAAAAGTATAAATATATATGTGTGTATGAATATACATATATAAATATATAAATATAAATATATAAAATAACAATATATATAAATATACAAAACTATAAATATAAAAGTTATATGTGTGTGTGTGTGTGTGCGTGTGTATGAATATAAATATATAAATATAGGTAAAGGTTGTCCCCTGACATTAAGTCCAGTCATGTCTGACTCTGTGGTGTGGTGCTCATCTCCATTTCTAAGCCGAAGAGCCGGCATTGTCTGTAGACACCTCCAAGGTCATGTGGCCAGCATGACTGCATGGAGCGCCGTTACCTTCCCACCTGAGCGGTACCTATTGATCTACTCACATTTGCATGTTTTCGAACTGCTAGGTTGGCAGAAGCTAGGGCTGACAGCGGAAGCTCACGCTGCTCCCCAGAATCGAACCTGCGACCTTTCGATCAACAAGCTCAGCAGCTCAGTGCTTTAACCCACTGTGCCACCGGGGGCTCCATTTTATATAAATATAAAATATATAAAATAAATATAAATACATAAGTGTAAATATATAAATATAAAATATATAAAATAAATATAAATATATAGAAATAAATATATAAATAATAATATTTATGAATAATAATTCAGGACTTCCGAATTGAGACTGACAGTTTTGGAGCACAATACTCCTGACCTTACGGTTGTGGGGAAAAAACAAAAAACAAAAGTATGGATCCTTGATGTTGCAATCTCAGGTGACAGCAAAATTGATGAGAAGCAACTGAAAAAGCTTACATAATATGAGGATTTCAAGCTCAAACTGCAAAGACTGCCACAAGCCAGTAAAGGTGGTCCCAGTGGTGATCGGCACACTGGGTGCAATGCCTAATGACCTTGACCTGCATTTAAAAACAATCTGCACTGACAAAATTACCATCTCTGAGCTGCAAAAGGCCACCCTACTCTGATATGCATGCATTATTCCCCAATACATCACACAGTCCTAGAAATGTCCGATGTGTGATCCAATGCAACAGCCAGCATAGTGAACTTTTTTTTTTGCTGTGGACTCATCTTGTTGTGTTTCTAATAATAATAATAATGATAATAATGATAATAATAATAATAATACTGTTTCCAGTCCTGAGATATTTATTTCCTACTATTATGACATTGGCACCACTTTAATTTTGATGGATATCCTACTGTAGCCAGGGATTTGTAGTACTTGGGATTCTGTAGCACATTCCCTTCGATGACAACACTGTCAGAGAACTCAGAGGTCCCTCAGAAAACTACAAATCCCAGAACTCCATAAATTTTAGAACTTGTATGGTTGTGGTATGCCTCTCGTCCTTGATGAGAAAAATAGAGCGTGGGGGACAATTTGAGATTTGATTATTCTGATGTGTCAAAGATCTGGCCTTGGATGTCCTTCATTATTTTGTACTTTCTCAGATATGTGTCCACCTTGTAGATTGAGTGCACTTTGACACCAATTTAACTGCCATGGTTCAATGGTATGGAATCATGGGATTGCTAGACTGGCAAGCCAGCAATATTCTTTTTTTGGCAGAGAAAGTTCAAAACTTTGTCAAACACCCATAATTCCATAGAACTGGGCCATGGCAATTCAAGTGGTATTGAACTGCATTCATGCTACAGTACAGATGCACTCCAGGCATCAGAATAATGCAGATACCCCATGATCCATTGAGCTCCATGGGATGTGGCTCTGAGCAGGCAGGCATACAAGAGCTCTTTCTGCTTTCCTCCCCTTTTAGGAGCATTGGACACCCAACCTCCAGTCTTGGACAGAGTGGCTTTACAACTTCCTGAAGGTAATTAAATGAACTGGGTGTATGGAGAGGGAAGAAGGGCAAGGGGAATTGTATTATCTGGGTTTGAATGCTTCTGACCCACTTTGGCTGCCTGTCTCTGCCTGCAGGGCTGACAGTGCTGCAGAAGGTCTCACCAGAGGGGCCACAGCTGGGCGTCTTCTGCACCCAGACCCTCCCCAAAGGGCTGCGCTTCGGCCCTTTCCAGGGCAAGATTGTCAACACCACTGAGATCAAGACCTATGATGACAACTCCTTGATGTGGGAGGTACCTGCTATTCTCTTGCTTGGGACAAGAGGGTTTTAAAAATTGTGTCAGAAGCTATTTGAAAAACTGCAAGTCGCTCCTGGTGTGAGATAATTGGCTGTCTGCAAAGACGTTGCCTAGAGGATGCCTGGATGTGGTACCATCCTGTGGGAGGTTCTCTCAGGGATAAGAGGGTGTGTGTATGTGATATATACCACTTCATCACACTAGAGAAAAAAATCCACTTAAAATCCAGTTTCTGCCTCCTGCAGAATTCTGGGGTTTGTCGTCTAGGGAGGCTGTTAAAGGCTCCTCCCTAAATGACAAACCCCATAATTCTGCAAGAAACAGAAACCAGATTTAAGTGGATTTTTTCTCTAGTGTGATGAGGCCCATAGAAGGATGGCAGTAACCACAATGACAGGGTTTTGGAGAGAGATAGTCCAGAAAAGTTGAATTTTCCAACTTACTGCTGTGCACATGGACACAGGATTGCAACTTTGGACTTGGCGGGAAGATCCTTAGCTGATCTTTGTGAGCAGAGCTTTAGCTCAGGCATGGACAAACTTTGGCACTCCAAGTGTTTTGGACTTCAACTCCCTCAATTCCTAACTGCCTACTGGCAGTTAGGAATTGGGGGAGTTGAAGTCCAAAACACCTAGGGGGCTGAAGTTTGTCCATGCCTGATCTATAGATCCTATTCCCCGCTCCTGATGAATGGTTCTTTGTCCACATCTCCTTCCCTCCCTGTCCCAGATCTTCGAGGACGGCCGCTTGAGCCACTTCATCGATGGCAAAGGCGCCTCGGGCAACTGGATGGCACTGGTGAACTGTGCCCGTTTCCCTGAGGAGCAGAACCTGGTTGCAGTCCAGTGTCAGAGCAAGATCTACTACGAGAGCTGTAAGGCCATCCCTCCTGGCCAAGAGCTGCTTGTCTGGTATGGTGACGGGTACCTGCAGTTCCTGGGCATCCCCCTCAGCCTCAAGGGCACCCTGGAGGCCAAGTGTGCCCAGCACCACCCTGAAGGTTAGTAGCCAACCTCCTTATAAGCAGAGGGATGGAGGGAGGGGAGGCCACACCTTCTGGTGGGGTAGGCAAGTTACAATTCCTATTAAACCATGTAACAGGATTGTTGTTCCTGGGCAATCAATGTCATTTCGTAATTTGTTCTATCCTAAAAGCATGGGAAATGCTTATTAAACTGCAAAAATGTTGTTTCTGCAGGATGTCCTGTAGCACATTTCTCAATAAATAGCTCATAGTCTCAACCAATTCAAGATATGTATTGTTGAAAGCTTTCATGGCCAGAATCACAGGGTTACCATAGATGCCTGCCATAGATGTGGGCAAAATGTCAGGAGAGAATGCCTCTGGAACATGGCCATACAGCCCAGAAAACTCAGAGCAACCCAATTCAACATAGTTTGTGGCACCCACAAAGACAACGTTTCTGGAGTATAATAACTACTTTCAAAGTAAGCACCACACAATTAAACAGGAAATAACACTTTCAGACTAGTACTTTTTTTAAAAAAAAATTGTTACATAGTGTTATCTGCCAGGAGTTGTAATCCAGATTTTCTCAAAACTCTGGAATTAGTCATTATATCAATTACATTTGGATGCACACATTATATGGTTCTCAAATGAGTTCTGCTTGCTTGAAAGAGCATTGGAAACACCCCCAGGTAACTTAAAAACTGTAGCCTGCAGTGCATCTACCTTGTAGATTGAGTGCAGTTTGACACCACTTTAGCTTTATTTATATCTCCCACCCTGGGCCTTCCAGAGATATAGAAACCCAATGTTCCTAGTTTCAAATAAACTTCACAACCTCTGAGGATGCTTGCCACAGATGCAGGTGAAACGTCAGGAGAGAATACTTCTTAGAACATGGCCAGACAGCCCGAAAAACCTACAACCCAGAATTAAATATCACTGGTATTTTAAAAAAATGAGTTAAAATTCATAAAAACATATTCAAAATTAAAAACCACAGCATCCTTCTTTAAAACAGATCTGTTGTGGCTGCAATTGCTTTTATTCCAACTAGAAAGAGACCAAGGCTGCATCTACACCAGGATTGAGCCCTGGTGTCAAACTATATTAATTCTACACTGTAGATACAGCCTTAGTCTCATTCTAAAAGCGATGGCAACCTCACCAGGCTTGTGCTTTTTCTTTTTTTTTACACTTAATCTGGTGCTTCCAATTGAAAATGTGACCACTCCCATACCATTATATATCTCTTTTTTCCAGCAGAATTGCAGATGATAATCAGTATGTCCTCCTACTTAAGGACACAATGGCTAAGAAAGAGGAGAGTGATTAACAGACTCTGTTTTGTAACTAGGGAAAAAGTGTTTCTCACTCCAGGGGAATTTTACCTAAGGCAACATGCCAATGGTTTCTTTTGGACATGCCCTGTAGGCAGGCAGCCTGTGAATGAATCAGGGCTAAAATTGGAGGCATTTTAGAAGCTTCTGTTTCATTCACCCTGAAACTCACTATGGCAGTTTTATTGGTTTAGAAACAAACTTTTTTTAATTCTCAAATTCTCTATTTCATTCATCATCTGCTGCTTTCTGATCTTTTTCAGGAAATGGCTGGAAAAATGTGATCACTTGCTCTCCATAATGTTTTGAAAAACTTGTTTGGTTTCCTTACATTTCCTGTAAAAATAATGCATGTAGCAATAAGGATATGTCCCAATGACTTTCATTAGGTGGCTCCAATTAGGAAAAAATAATCTTTTATTTCAAAATTGCTTTTGGTTTTCCTGTTAATGTTACCATATTCTTTTACATTTCTGTTGCTCTCTAAAAATAAAATAAGCATTTATGTATGGCTTGTTGGGCGAGTGGGCTTATTAACAAAAGACCCTCCCCATAAATGTGCAGCAGAGCAACTTAGTAGCAGCATGACCCATTACAAGTAGCCCAAAGTGATAAAAAGAACAAAAACACACAGACCAATGTTATCTCTTTCACAGGAAGCTTTTCTTTATAGCAAAATAATATAGTTGCACTATTTACAAAAGCAAGGTTTCCATGACAAAAATAAAGTCCAGTCTTCACACTGGAGCTTCACACATGAGGCTTCTCATACTGAGGCTTACCTCACACTATTTATTTATTTATTTATTTATTTCGTATACTTCTACCCCGCCCTTCTCAACCCCCGAGGGGGGACTCAGGGCGGCTTACAAAATGGCACAATTCGATGCCTACACAATAATACAATAAACGTATAAAAACAACAGTTAAACAGTTATAACAATTAAAACAACAATATATATCACAGTCAATAAGCCAATCTCATGCACAGCGTTCGCCAACTCAGAGTCCATACTTCATTCCACATTGTCTATTCCTATCCGTCATCGTAGTCCTTTATTTATCTGCCCAAACGCCTGGTCCCACATCCATGTTTTTAATTTCCTTCTAAAGGAAAGGAGGGATGTCGCTGATCTAATTTCCCCGGGGAGTGAATTCCATAGGTGAGGGGCCACCACTGAGAAGGCCCTGCTCCTCGTCCCCGCCAATCTCACTTGTGATAGAGGCGGGGCCGAGAGCAGGGCCTCCCCAGAGGATCTTAAACTCCGAGGTGGGACTAAGGCCTATTCTCACACAGAGAGGCTTCTCTCACACATAGAGCTCTCTCAGACTGAGACATTACGAAGCAACAGGCATGCCTTGTTTATATTGAACTGCAGCCTTGCTGAGTCATTGTATCCATTTAACTCTTTCAGTGCTTGACTCACATTTTTGCAATTAAAAATTCCTAGTTAATATTTAATATTTCTGACATGGCTAATATTGCATAGTTCTTGATGTTAATCCTCACACCAGCAGTGAGTTCTATGTAATTTGGATATGCTAACTCAGAATTAAGACACCACTTCCCCCAATGGACTTGTTGTATGCCTTCAGTTCATTTCTGACGTATGGTGACCTTGAAATTGTACTTATGGGGATTTCTTTGTCTGAGGCTGAGAGAGAGAGAGATGGCCAAGGTCACTCAGTGGGTTTCCATGGCTCAGCAAGGTTTTGAGTCCTTGTTTCCAATTGTAGTCCAATTTTCTAAACCACGGCACTGTGCAGCTCTCATACTCCCAGTTTACTGCAGTCCCTAATCAATGTTTAGATCTGGAACCCATTTGTTTTATTAGTTACTAGCTTGGGGACCCGGCGCTGCCCGGGTTATTAGAGAAAGGAATCGCAGTGGTCTCAGGAAGTTAGTGAAGGTACAGCGAGTTCCATCATCTGTGGTCCATCCTCCTCCAAACAGCACCAGGATGGAGAGTGGGTCATGGGGGCTTTGGTCTTGATAAGTCATTGGATGAGGGTCACAGCGGTCTCAGAAAGTGAGTTAAGGTACTGCAAGTCCCATCATCCATAGTCTCCCTCAAACATCACCAGAATGTTGAGTTGGCCATGGGGGCTCTCTGTGCCAAGTTTGGTCTTTATTGGTATTTGGATGAGTGTCACTGTGGTTTCAGGAAGTGAGTGAAGGTACTGCAAGTCCCATCATCCATTGTCCGTCCTCCTCCAAACAACACCAGGCTGTAGAGTCGCTCATGGGGGCTCTGTGTGCCAAGTTTGGTCTTGATTGGTCATTAGATGAGGGTTGCAGCAGTCTTGGGAAGTGAGTGGAGGTACTTGAAGTCCCATCATCCATAGTCTGTTCTCCCCCAAACCTCACCAGAATGTTGAGTTGGCCATGGGGGCTCTGTGTGCCAAGTTGGTCTTCATCAGTCATTGGATGAGGGTCTCAGTGGTTTCACTAAGTGAGTGAAGGTACTGCAAGTCCCATCGTCCATGGTGCATCATCCTCCAAACCGCACCAGGATGTAGAGTGCATCATGGAGACCCGTTGTGCCAAGTTTGGTCCTTATCGGAGATTGGATGATGGTTGCAGTGGTCTCAGGAAGTGAGCGAAGGTACTGCAAGTCCCATAATACATGCTCGATCCACAGTCAAACCACACCAGGGCGTAAAGTGGGTCATGTGAGGTCTATGTGCCAAGTTTGGTGTTGTTCAGTCATTGTTGAGGGTCGCAGCAGTCTCGGAAAGCGAGTAGAGGTACTTCAAGTCCCATCATCCATGGTATGCCCTACTCCAAACCAGTAGGATGTAGAGTGGGTCATGGGGGCTCTGTGTGCCAAGTTTGGTCTTGATCGGACATTAGATGAGGGTTGCAGCAGTCTTGGGAAGGGAGTGGAGGTACTTGAAGTCCCATCATCCATGGTCTGTCCTCCTCGAAAGTGCACCAGGATGTAGAGTGGGTCATGGGGACTCTGTGTGCCAAGTTTGGTCTTGATCAGTCATTGGCGAGGGTCTCAGTGGTCTCAGGAAGTGAGTGAAGTGACTGCAAGTCCCATCATCCATTGTCAAATTCTTCCAAACCACACCAGGATGTAGAGTGGGTCATTCGGGCTCTCTGTGTAAATTGTGGTCCTGATCCATCATTGTTGGCAGTTGTAATGGTCTCAGGAAGGGAGTGCAGGTATTGCAAGTCCCATCGTCCATGGTGCATCCTCCTCCAAACTGCACCAGGATGTAGAGTGCGTCATGGAGACTCAGTGTGCCAAGTTTGGTCTTTATCGGTAATTGGATGAGGGTTGCAGTGGTCTGAAGAATTGAGCAAAGGTACTGCAAGTCCTATAATCC